CAAATCCGAAATATCATTCTTGTGGAGTGCATACTATTAATGCAAGGAACTTAACTACCAAATCGGATGAAACATATATATTGTAGATATAGCTAAATATGAACCGATTTTGATGTACTTGCTCTAGACTGACTTCGATCGGATTTACCAAAATTCAGGTCATTTGGACTGATAGTGGCCATTTGGTGCACAATTAAAAAGAAATCGGTTGAAGATATATGTATATGGGAGGTATATCCAAATACGAACAGATCTTGATACAATTTGACAGTAGTAGTTCTGGGCTGTATCTGATATCAGGTAAAAAATATCATTCTTGTGGAGTGCATATTATGAATGTAAGGAACTTAAACACCAAATCGGATGAAACATATATATGTGAGATATAGCTGTATTTGAATTTTTTTTCTCCAAATTTGATGTACTTGCTTCTAGACTGAAGTCGGTCGGATGTGCCAAAATGCAGGTCATTTTGAGTGATATTGGCCATTTAGTGCACAAATAACCTGAAATCGGTTGAAGATATGTATGGGAGGTATATCCAAATCCGACACGATCTTGATAAAATTTGACAGTGGTATTTCTGGGATGTATCTGATATCAGGTACATATATGTATATGTACAAATTACGTGCTTCATGCTGAATTCGGTCGGATGTCGGTCAAAATTCAGGTAATTTGGAGTGATATTGGCCATTTAGGGCACAATTAATCCGAAATCGGTTGAAGATATATATGGAAGCTATTTCTTAATTTGAAGCTATTCTCACCAATTTGAATAGGGTTCGTCCTTGGGTCAAACAAATATAGTTTGGAAAATTTCATGTAAATCAGATAATAAATGCGACCTGCATTTTATTCACAAAAAATCATAGTGGACGAAAACATGAAAACCTTACCACAATGTAATGTAGGATATAAAAACACATTTTGGACCTTTAATCCTTGAAAATGTGTTGAACATTTCACAACTGTGGATTTCGGATAATATATCGGCGCTAAGTAAGGTATGCCTACCTTATAGTGGTACCTTCTGATTTTTCGGTATTTTACTGATTCTAGTGTCAGGTGCTCAGCAGATTTTCAATGTAGGTTAACTATATGGTCAAGAGCATGGGCTCCTTCGAAATAGGGTCGCCATTGGCCCACTATTTTATGTAGCCTCCATATCCGAGTACCAGGGGATAGAACGCGGCAACAATTTCTGACTGACATGACTGTGATTTTAAGGCCCACGCAGGGTCCCTCCGAAATAACCATTTTTCTGACACTTTTCTACATTTTACATGGAAAAGTTAATTTTTTTCATAGGTCGAGTTTTTGGAATTGCTCTCTTAGAATGGAAATCTACTAAGGGTATTCTGAAGGTCCAGAGGGTAAAAAAAGTTCTTCAAGGTAAAATTTTAAACAGTTTTCACGTACCAAAATCAACTTTTATAGAGCTCTTTGAATAACTTTTAAATTAATTTTAATTTTTTTAATAATAGACCAAAAAATCTATTAAATTTTCTTAGATTTCACTTTTCCATCCCTGATATGTCATTGTGTTGTAGGTGATTCCTCTCTCCAAAGAAAATAGAGTAAAGAACGAATCACCATAATTCATTGTACGCTACATTTGCCCAGCATGGCCATTTCATAACACCTTATTTTATGACCTCTACGCTCAGGTAAAAGAGAATTCTGGTTTCCTCTTACATTTTCTTATCTACGCAACTGTGTGGGGTTGAGATGTTGACTGTGAGAAGCAATTTTAAAGAATAATAAAATACGATTATTTTTTGGTTCTCAGTTGGAAAAGTGTTAAGATTACACGTGTAAATGCTGTAGGTCTTGGATTGCTCGAAGAAAGTGTATTATTTGTGCAATGCCCTGGGATAAGGCTCAGATTTGAAAATATAAATTGGTTTTGAAGACAAGTACACGATGCTCATGTAACCTTCCATGAATGAGACGAGTTTTCGACCTCATATAGACACAGTTATTTTTTCATAGGGGTTCCAAAGGTTCGGCTGACATTTCCCTATGTCAAAAAGAGAAAATGTCAATGGATGGCATCGATGCCCTTACCCTATCATTGATATTCTGGAATAATTGCCCCTAACCTAATATTCTATACCCTAGAAATTCATCATGACTGAATGAGAAGAAAATATTGTCTTCCCATGTTGATTCAGTGATTCGGCCTATAATTTTCCCAGAAATGATGACAGTTAACTTCAGATTACAAAACTATCTCTATTAAAATATTGCGTATTTGCAGATATCTCCTCTGCTGTACTCTTTTTTGCGTAACAGCAAATCTCAGATAATGACTCTTTGATCCGATAGCTACTGTGTTTACAACAATTCTCGTAGTTCCTTATTTGCCCCTGTAAGATAAAATGAAATCATTATCTATGTTGACTCATTATTGTTTTGCAATTTGTTGATCATATATAATAGTTATTTTAAGAAGAAATCCTGTTAATTTTTTTCTCTTGAGAAGTTCAAAAATTCTTGGGAGGATGGCTGGGAGAGTTATTGAAGAAAAATTCTAAAAGTTTTGGTTATTATACCTGAATTTCCATGACTAAAATTAAATGTATTATTTTTGTCTTTCGAGCCCGAAATGAGAAATTTTTAAAATGAAGACTTTGTAATGAAAAAAATTGCTTTTGGTTGACAAAAATGTTAAAATTACCCAATGTTAAAAACCGTTGAAAAATTCCGCTATAATTTTAAAAATTCCGAATATAAGGTGTTAAAGTTGCATGGGACTTTATGAAAAAGTGGACCTTTACAGCCAATTATCGCCAGAGAAAGTGGTGCATATTATGAACACTAAACAACAAGTTTAATATACAGGGTGAGATAAAAAAAACTGCAACAAAGTCAAACGCCACAATTTTTACATTTTTTTCAATTTTATTGAATGAAAACAAAAAAAGTCGGAAATAGCATCAAATTTTAAAATAAGTTTAGATTTGTTCGAATTGGTTACCTTTGGCACGAACTATGGAAAATGAAATCGTCATACGCTGCCCGAATGTTGCTCTGCGGTATTTTGGCCCATTCCCGGCGAAGCGCTTGTTTGACGTGGTCGACACTTTGGTATTTTTTGTGCCAACCTTGCTTTCTAAAATACTCCAGACACAATAGTCCAACGGATTGGTATCCGGAGATTTTGGTGGCCATTGTGCGCTGGAAATGAAGCAAGGAACCTCATTTTGTAACCATTCTTGAGTGGCGCGTGCTGAGTGCGATGGTGCTGAGACCTGTTGGAATGTTCAAGGTCTGCGGCCAAAATGTTTGAGTTCCCAAGTCTTTATACACCCTCCAGAATATTTTCCCGATAATACTCGGTATTTATTCTGATGCCACGGTCGATTAATACGAGCGGAGAATTACCATCGGCTGTTATGGCGACCCACATCATTACTTTGGCCGGCGCTTGAGTTCTGGTGGCCAACCGAAGTTGCACATTTTCAGCTAACCTCTTTGGCAAGTAAACACGATCATTTTGATTGTTTAAAACTGCTAGACAACGAATGTTTTCTCATCGGAGAAAACCAAATTCGGCAGTTCACCACTATCGGCCAAGGGAAGCAACTCTCTAACTGTTTTGAGTTTATTTTCTCTTCGCTGCGGTGTAAGTTTTTGCACTTTTTGGAATTTCAAAGGCTTTACCCCGAGCTCATTTTTCAAAATTTGCCGAATGGAATATTGCAATATGTTCAGCTGACGAGCTTTTTTTCGGCCACTGCCACGCGGGTTTCAATCAAGTCCCGTCTTTACTTTTCGAACCATTTCTGCTGATGTTGCTATACAAGACAACTTATACTCGAAGAAAAATATCTTTTGGAAAGACATATTCTGACCTTCTATAAAGAGGCCTTATATGAGAAGACTAATGAGAATACCTCGGTGTCTTCTGTGGAAAGTTCTCAGTTCTTCCCTGAGAAGACCTCAGGGCTCTATAAAGAAGACCTTCTCGTCTTCTATGAGAAGACCTTCTCGTCTTCTATGAGAAGACCTTCTCCTCTTCTATGAGAAGACCTTCTCGTCTACCAGTATCACGGTAACGAACGATGGAGTGCTCTAACGATAGCCACTTGTGGTTTTCCAGCCAAATATAAAGAAATCACAATATCACGCTTGAATTCCATCACGAATAAGTTTTTTTTTCTGGAAAATTCTCTCCAAAATATTTTTGTACGCTTATAAACAATATAATGAGCTGTCACTGGAATAATTTTTATCACCTGTCGGCCAAGTGGCTTAGAAATGACAGCAGTCTGAAGTTAGTTGCAGTTTTTTCATCTCACCCTGTACTTGTTACCAGATATCAGATGCAACCTGGAAATACCTCTGCCAATTTTTTCTACGGTTAGTTCTTCAAAATATGCCCTACACCACTAGGGTATCACAATGTCGATCCCTCCGGACTTTTGACCTCTATTTACTAGTTTTCTTTCTATATCTGTGAATTTTGTTCCGTGGTTAAAAAAAATAGTTGCAGTTTTTTCATCTAACCCTGTATTTATAATAATTGTAAAAAATATCGTTGTACAATATCATCCACAAAAGTACTTTCGGTACTCAAAATATTCTAAAACGTACTATTGTTTAAAACTTCCATCCCTGACTTCAATTTTCATTTCTCTGAGCACCGATCAACATTGCTCTCCCATTTTCTCAATACTCTCTCTTCAGATTCTCTACAAATATTTTAAGATACTTTTTGTTTTGGCCTCTTCAAGGCAAGTGTATGTGTGTGTGTGCGCATTGTCGAATGTTGTTGTTATTATTTTTTTTGAATGAGACGAAATACGATGGACATTTGTTTGTAGTGGATTCTTCATTCATGGCATAATGTACGAACGTGGGCTACAAACGATACGACGACTGGTATTCATTCGTATGTTTGCCTTCGGCGACAACGGCCATATAACGCGGTATTCCTAAGATTGTTTTTTTTTGCGTTTTGACGGTATTTTCTTTTTTTTTTTGTTGTTGCCGTTTTGAACTCTCGCGGTTGTGATCTTAACTACTAGTAGTAGCAGAAGAAGAACAAGAAAATCAAAAGACAAGCGACCACAAACAAAATACACAGCCATCAAAGCAACACCAAACATTTTTTGTTGCTCCGTTGTGTTCAGACGTTGTTGACGACGGACGGTTCGAACGCGCTTCTCCCTCCTTCTGCTTTGCCGTCTGCTCTCGCTGTTGTCGTAGCAGCTTTTGCTAAAATCATTTCTAAAATTAAATCCAAGAAATAAAACCAAGCAATCAAACGATACATAACGCGAACGTTGCTGGTTGGTATTATTGTCGAGCTTCACCATCGAGGCAAGAAAAAAATTGAAAAAAAATATTTTGGACGTGTTTTGATGATAGACATAAAGAAAATCGATTTTGTTTTTGTTTTCCTTTGGATCCAGAAAAAAGAAATATAGAAAGTTTTCTGTCATACATATCTGCCGTTAGCCAAGAGAATTGTAGTGAAAAAGTGTAATTAGAGAATACCTATCTGGACGGACAAAAAAAGAGAAGAAGCCGATTTCATCCTCCTCACAATGTGACGGTATTGAAAGAAAAAACAATTGAATGAAATTATTTGCTTATTATTAAATTAAACGCTTCTTCGTAATTATTGTCTGTGTTGTATTGTGCGCTCTTTTTGACAATTTAATAGCTTCTGTAGTAGTTTTTGTTGTTGTTATTGTTAAATAATTTATAAACAATTTGACGTCTATCTCTCGCCGTGGAACATTTCGAGTGTGATAAATGTTGTGGCTTTCTCTGTGTGTGTTTGTCAATTTTTCACATCACTTTGCATCCCCCACCAACCGCTATCAACCTACCTACCTACCTATCAAGTAGCAGCACCAGTTGCAAAAAAGTTCATGTTAAATAAACAATTTTTTATTTTTCTTTAAACAATTAAAAAAAAATATTGAAGATAAAGAGAAACCCTCCAGCTTTCCTTGGGCAAACAAGTGAAGCGTGAAACAAGAGCATGAGATACGTTATAAAACTGGCCGCCGCAATGAATACCGTTAAACTTAAATAAAGCAATCAAAAAAAATAACTAAAAAACACAGAACAGTTTTGAACACAAAAAAATAAAACACCACACGCCTGGATAATAAACAAAACTAGTACCCCAAACACCTTCACCACCATGGGCCTAAGAGCAAAAACAACAACCGCTACCACTGCTGCCACTTTGAATAGTGCAAATGCCAGCAACAGCAGCAGCGGTTCTCCCTCCGCCAAACACAAATTTTTGAATGGTGCCCGGAAATTCAACAAGGCCTTCAGTCGCGGTTGTTCAACTTATGTTGGCGGCAATGGCGCCATCACCACAAAAACACCCTCACCACCCTGCCTCAGTCCCAATGGCATCAGTGCTAAATCCCTAATTGATCCACATGCATACAGCTTTCGCACCACAATACGCAGCAGTTCAACATCAGCAATAATGGTAGCCTCAATGGCGCCCAACATGCGTCCCCAAACCCTTAATGTACACAATCATCAGCAGGCACCGGCGGATCATACACAGTTATTTTTGGGGTATGTTGTTGGTTTTTTTTTTTCTAATTTATTTTATTTTTAATTTTAATTTGGTTTTGGTTATAAGTTAAAATGGAATTATGCGGATCAGAAGGGCAGGGAAAGATATACAAGAATTAAAACACCAGGAACCTTGTTTCCAGAAGAATTTCACAGACTTTGAAATAATTGCAACCGACTTTGCTGACAATTAAATGATATGAAAATAACAAGAGAAAGCGGACATGTTTCTTCCTTATTTTACCACATTCCTTGACAAAAAAAAATAATTTAATTTTTTAACAAAATGTTGTCGATAACAGCAAGTTTTTAACAAAATATTGTTGATAACAACAATTTCTATAGAAAATGATGTCGATATAAACAATTTCTATAGAAAATGTTATCGATATAAACAATTTCTATAGAAAATGTTGTCGATGAGCCCAATTGTGATAGAAAATGTTGTCGATAGCAAAAATGTCTACCGAAAATGTTGTCAATAACAGCATTTTTTTAACATAATGTTTTCGATAACAGCAATTTTTTAACAAAATATTGGAGATTACAGCAATTTCTATAGAAAATATTGTCGATAACAGTAATTTCTATAGAAAAATTTGTCGATAAAAAAATTTGTATAGAAAATGTTGGCGATAGCAACAATTTCAATAGAAAATGTTGCCGATAACAACAATTTCTATAGAAAATGTTGTCGATAACACCAATTTCTATAAAAAAATGTTGTCGACAACACCAATTTCTATAGAAAATGTTGTCGATAACTACAATTTCTATAGAAAATGTTATCGATAACAACAATTTCTATGGAAAAAATCCACAGAAAATGTCCTTAAGATGAACTTCATCTGCGATGTTATCGATATCAATGGTTTACATGGAAACTTTTACCGATAACAAAATATACATTAAGAAAGTTATCGAAATACACCGTTTCTGTGGAAAAAAATTCCGATACCAAGAATTGATATGCAACGATATATGAAAAGCTCTTTCGATATCAAAATTTTTTATACAAATTATCGATGAAAATATTTTAATTGAAAAATGTAGTCGATAACAACATTTTCTTCTGAGAATACTGACGAAAACACGATTTTAAATCTCAGATATGTTTCATTGAATAACCGGTAGGGGCACAGATACAAATTGATTTTACCGGATCCGCATAATTCTCGTTTAACTGTGTATGTGTGTATATTTATTATTATTTATTTCTTTGTTTATTTATTTTAATTTCTTTTTATTTTCTCTTGTTTTGCATTTTTATAAACATTCATAATAATTTTAATTTATTACCATAATTTTGAAAATATTTTAGAAAATATTTTATTTCTTGTTTGTATTACGTTTTTATTTATTTTCACTTTTTAGTAATATCCCAATCCATTACCTCCCCTCGCAAAATGTTCGTCTTCTGCCGTAAGGGAAGTTATTGTTGTTGTTGTTTCTACACATATCCATCCACATGTATCGTCATTTTGTCTGCACATTATCCATTGCAGTGCAGCGTCAGTACGTTTTTCTATTCAGTCATCGTTTATTTTAAATGTTTTTGTTTTTTTTCTGTTTTTATCCGATTGGTTGTTTTTGTCGATTTTTTTTTAAATGATTTTCCTTCTCGTGTTTTGGTTATTATTAAATGCCAGCCACAGCAGCAACGCCAGCCACTACCACTACCACCGCCACCAAAATCCCAACCACCACCATCGCCGACACTATTGTCAGCGTTTATAAAACTTATTCCGTTTTTCTTGTTATTGCATTTTTTTTTTGAGTTGAAAAAAATATTAAAAAAAATCGACGACAATATCATTGAACTTGATCTTTGAAAACGTTAAGCGCGTTTTGCATTTTAATTAATTCATTTAATTGCCATGGAGGCCATTTATGACAAGTTTTTTTGTTTGGTTGTAAAGTGTGGCAACTCGTAAAAGGAAATGTTTTATGGCATAAAATTAGTTCGATAACAATAATGACTATGGAATATAATGCCGATAACAATAATGTCTATAGAACGTGTTGTCGATAACATGCATTTCTATATAAATGTTGTCGATAACAACTATTTCTATAGAAAATGTTGTCGATAACAACAATTTCTGTAGAAAATGTTGTCGATAACAACAATTTCTGTAGAAAGTGTTTTCGATAACAACATATTTCTATAGAAAATATTGTCGATAATAACATATTCTATACAAAATGTTGTCGACAACAATATATTCTATAGAAAATTTTGTCGATAACAACTATTTCTATAGAAAATTTTGTCGATAACAACTATTTCTATAGAAAATTTTGTCGATAACAATTGTTTTTCATCAAAAAATTGTCGATAACAATTGTTTGTCTTCAAAAAATTGTCGATAACAACAACTTCTATAGAAAATGTTGTCGATAACAACTATTTCTATAGAAAATGTTGTCGATAACAGCAATTTCTATAGAATATGTTGTCGATAACAACATATTTCTATAGAATATGTTGTCGATAACAACATATTTCTATAGAATATGTTGTCGATAACAACATATTTCTATAGAATATGTTGTCGATAACAACATATTTCTATAGAATATGTTCTCGATAACAACATATTTCTATAGAATATGTTCTCGATAACAACATATTTCTATAGAATATGTTCTCGATAACAACATATTTCTATAGAATATGCTGTCGATAACAACATATTTCTATAGAATATGTTATCGATATTAATAATGTCTATAGAAAATGTTGTCGATAACAACAATTCCTATAGGACATGTTGTCGATAACAACATATTTCTATGGAATATGTTGTCGACAGCAAGATATTTCTATAGAATATGTTGTCGATAACAACAAGTTCTTTAGAAAATGTTATTGATAACAACAACAAATGTTATTGATAACACCAATTTTTAAAGAAAATTTCATCGATAACAACAATTTGTTGTCGATAATAACATTTTCTTTAGTAAATGTTGTCGATAATAACATATTCTATAGAAATTATTGTCGATAACAACAATTTCTATAAAAAATGTTGTCGATAACAACAATTCCTATAGAAAGTGGTGTCGATAACGACAATATCTATAATGTTGTCGATAACGATAATTTCTACAGAAAGTGTTGTCGATAACCATAATTTCTATCAAAAATGCTGTTAATGACCATAGTTTCCATTTGAAATTTTTTCATTGAAAATGTTGTCGTTATCGATAACGAATATTTTCGATAATTTAAGTTTTTTTTCGGAATAAATATGGAATCTTTTTTGGTAATAAATATTTTCAAATACCAATAAAACATAATAAAATACTATAGGAATGTCGGGTTCTGTATTCACACCTTCTTCCTCCTACAAGTCAACCATCAACTGATAACGCAGACATAAGGGTACAAACTCATATTCTATTATGACTCAATTTATTGCCGTTATCGCCCCGTTACAAATGACGTTAAATGCTTATCACCGAAATGCGAATACACTTTTATTGTTATTGTAAAGCTTTACCTATCTCTGTTTTTTGGTGGTTCTGCAAATGACATTGACCAACCAAGTCCATGGTGATAACTTGGTTGCTATATGTAATTGTTTTTTTTTATCACCTTCAGACTATATAGGTAATCTCGATTATTTGTCGGACGACACAGACACCGAAGGTCATTGTGGGGAAAATTTAGTTTTCCACGAGTGAAAGTGGCACTCACAATTAGGGATTTATTCTAATCCCTTAATTTAAATAAGGGTTTGCTTTTGGTTAAAAGGCGAAATTAAAAAAAAAATATTTTATTCTCTGGTGGGAGAGGTAATTGTCAATTTTTATTGTCTCTTATTATTCCAATAATAACTTTTGGTTCCAAAACTCTCATAGAATATTTGTCTTATATAGTTATCTAAAGATTTCCATTGAAATTCCCTTGATCTTCCTCCTTCAATATAGCTTCTGATCCTGAAGATAATCCTGTTTTTTTTTATTTGTAGCTTCAGAAATACAATATTGTCCTGATTTTTCACTCCTTGTGGCTTCAGGTGTAAAATTTTATTATTTTTTCCTTTTATGATCCCTAAAATCTGTAGAAGTTTTTTTTTTTCAAAAAACTTTTCACACCCATCTCGCATGTGTTCACATGTATCTCCACAACACATTAAGTGAGCTTCAACCCCAAAATAACAATGAGAGAAAGAATCGCTCGATGAGGGAGGGGCCGAAGGAGGAGAAACGCACGTTGACAATGTTGTAAATATTCAAATTGAAATAAAAGACACCAAATGAAACTTTATTCATTTCAATCAGAGACGATGAATTCATTGACCCCCACTTGTCACAACCATTAAGTGAACATAAATAAATGATCTGTCATGAACATTGCAATTGATTATTGCCCAGAATGGGGCAGCGCACACACACAGTCCAAAACTGTTGCAATTACACGCTCGTTCCCCGGGTTTGGCTGGCTGGCTGGCGGATTGGCTGGCTCGCTCATTCTTCACATGTGTATGGCCAAACAAAATCGACAGCAAAAATTTCCTCTTTAGCTGGCTATGGGTATGACACATACGCATGGAACGAGCGCGAACAACAACGTACATACATAAATATGTACATGCGGAACCCATTTAAGAAGTCGTAAATTCATGTGTCAACTAGCAACTCTACAAGCTAAGCAGGGGAACCCAGTAGGGGGACGGTTCAGATAATTTGCGTCTTCCTTATTTTGATTTAGGCCAGTTTTTTTGTTGTTGTGTTCACTTCGCCTTGTGATCGCCGATAATCAGCTGTCTTAACCACCAGATATCGCCAATGATCACTGACCTCACCGTATCGAATATTTGTTATTCTGTTGTGAAAAGAAAAGAAACAAAGACCCAAAATCCTTTTGTATCTTCAAGTTTGTTTTGTTTAACAGCTGACATCCGCCTGAAATGACAAAACTTTCGCTATCACTTGCCAATCTCTGGCTCTTTATCATTCCGCTGATCAATATTAATGAGTGGGATTAC